TTACCGTCGCGCGTCGACGATGGAACCACCGGACCTGTCGAATTGGCGGCGCGTCTCGGATTTCTTCCGCGACCTTCGGAAAGACACGCGCACGCTTCTACGCAATTTTTTCTACGTTTTTGTAATTTTTTATAAGAGGACGCGCGTCGATCCGATCGCTTGGCAGCTCCATCGTCGGCAAACAAACGAATAAGGATCGAAGAATGCTATTCAACGAGGCGTGAATTATGCGAAAGAAGCGACGCAATTACTCGCCTGTCGCCGGACGAACGTCGGTGTCTTTTTTTATAATCCCTCGTTAGTCCTCGCGGAGAGGACTCGCGACCTCGTCATTGTTTCTCCCGATTTGTCGAGACCGTTGCCTCCCGAGCTACGTCGATACCAGGTTCACTGAAATCGAATTCTTCACACGTTGTTCGGTAAACGAATATTCGAATGCGTGTTCTAATTCTCTACTTTTAACCCCTTAACCGTGGAGTCTTCCCGGCAACGCAACGCCGAGTTTTTCAATTGAACTTTAATTTAACCCTTTACTCCCGAGAGGTGACTCTCAGTCATTTGATTTGATACAACAAAATTACGAAGTGTTATATGTAATATTAAGTTTTGTATAATGCATCAATATGTGCAGTATTTATGTAAAATGGCTTTGTTTCTTGACACTTTGCGTACCGGTTAATTTCCGGAAAATTGAATTGCGACTGGCAATTTTCAGTGAGATCAATTCACATCGTTATACACAGAAAAGCTCGGATATATTGTTATGTAATATATTTCAAATAGATAATCAATTCGAGTCAAATTGAATATTTCTTCAAATGGTAATTAGCATAGTTGCATAACTAAGTGTCTTTATTAAAAACGAGATTTCTCGTTACCAGTACGCAATGTGTTAATTTACGTGTTTCCTCATTAGTGAAAAGCTTCCGGGTGTAAAGGGATAAGTCTTCTTTTCCTTGAGTTTGTTCCTCTTACAACATAATTAGCGTTCTAACAGAAAAGGATGTTTATATTTAGTGAATATAATAAAAAGAGGAAATAAACGAATGCACAGAAATTTTAGTCTTGATATTCCTCGAAACGTTTCGCTGAACACAGGGAAAACTTTACATTGCTTGCATATGAGACGAAATAATTTGTGACTTTTCCTTCTGCATGCTGCACGTTCTCGATGAATATTCGCGAACGCGTCGACTGTCACTGTTAAGGGGTTAAAGCTTCGATGTCCAAGATCGAAATGAACGAACGTAACTTTTAGCAGGAACGGTAGAATAAATTGTACTACCAGTGTCCGTGAACCCAGCGTTCAGAGCGTGGTCGTGTCTGAATCGAAAATCACGGTTTTGCGCAACGAGTTCTTTATCTTTTTCTAGTCGACCAAGGAAACTGCGAATCGGAAACGGAACGGCACGCGGTTAATAAGCGCACGGCCAGGCCTGTTACGTTCCGCGATAACATCTGCGATTGGCGTAGGGTACGCGATGTTCACACGCAACCATCCTGGTTTCTGCTCGGCTATTTCTGCGTTAAGTGCCACGAAAATCTTTGAGCGGTTTACATAACGCTCATTCATTCGTGGCGAAGATAAATAGGAGTGATCGTTCATTCTATTTGCCATCGCATCCTTGCGTTACGCTATCGTCAATTTGTGTTATTAACACTAGATTTATGGAACTCGTCAATTCGATGGATATTGAATTTTTTAAACATTATTCGGTAATACTGTAATTACTCGATTTTGAAGCTATTTCTATGATCTATATTCTCAGCGTATGATCTATATCTCAGTTTTCAATTTCACCGAATTTCTGTTGCTTTTATTTATTAACTTCTAATATGTTCTGTTGTTTCTTTTATAATGGAATATCGAATTAATTTCTATTTAACTAAGACAAGCGAACACGTCGTTTGGTACAATTGATCTGGACGTAATGAGTAACTACATTAACTTGTTTCGTAAATATTTTCATGCAGATTGAGATCTGTTTTTATCTGATCCGTTTTAACGCGAGTGTCGCACGATTTTGCTGAGAAAAATATACAAAGTGAAAATAACGTAATGACAACTTATGTGATTGAATTACATTATTATTATTGAAGGTTTATCTTGTTGAATGTCACTGCATTAGGCAGTGTCACTTATAATATAGAAAAGTTCTCAAATAATCATCGTTTAATCGAATGAATCATACTAATTCGATTTAGTTGAGGTCATCGGTGACCCTCATGGCATCCGTGTTAACAACTGCAGTTTCCTAGGAACAATGGAACAAAGTAGAACGAGTGTCTATAAATCTAGCGTTAAATATTTTTATTCGACACAGGTTATATAACGCATTGGAATTGTTTTCGAGTAATTTAGACGCGTCGGAAGTACGTTTGCAACGCGTTTCTTATTTATTCCATCGGCGATGCGCTCGCGATTTCGATCGTACCTATGCACTCGAAGGATCAGATAACGCCGTAACTACCGGATGGGTCGGAACAGGTCGGAACGACCTGTTCTCGGATCCTTCTGTCACAGTCGTTTAACACTAAACATACCGCGAAAGGTCAAACGACCGGTTTTAAAATTTGACTGGAAATTCTCTACGATTTTCTTCGTTCGTTTGACAATAAATCAATTAACACTTCGGCTGCCACGGCCACCGACGACCGGAGCTTTCAAATCGCAAGAAAATTAAAATTAAAATAATTATGACTTGGATAATTGATTTCGAATATAAATTTTCCGTAACGTAAATAACTGGACAATAGGGTAATATAAGAATTTTCGTATCAAAGAATGAATAATTCTTGCTTCGTATCTTTGCTATAGAAAGGATATGCGATACAAAACGCTGACGTCTTTCGTGGTAGTCAACGTGACAAATATTGCCCGATTGATCAGTTCAACTTTTCCCTCTTCTGTTCCTGGTTCCAATAAGAAACATTTGACTCGCTCGAAACTCAATGCGGTTGAGTCCAGAAAACAGAAATTGAGAAAACTAATTTGACTACCCACGGTATAGGTGTATGTACAAAGTGTCGGTACGTTTAGTGTTAAAGGACACGCACGTTTTACCGAGCAACAATCGAGCAAACTAATTTATTAACAGAGAAAAACGGAACACAGTAGACCACCGTATAACGCGATTCCTCGTGCAACGTGGTGCGCAATGAAACGCGAGAATTCCTCGCGTTTACAAACGAGGCGAGGTTCAGTCGAGCATTGCACTGTTTCCTCGCCGATTCCTTCTGTCTCTGAGTTCTCTTGTATTTCACAGAACGCGGAGACTAAAAGTTGTCACGGTATTAATCGTTCGTGACGCGTTACACGAGAACAATCTCGTATGATCTCCTAAAACGCGTTCGCCGCGTTATACGGGCGTCTGTCGTAAAACGAATCGGAATCTCAGCGAATTCTAGCGCTCCTAGACGCGTGTACGCGCCCACGGCACTCGGAGGGTTAACCCTGTGCACTCGGAAGTTTTTCATTGGAAACATTTTCACATTTTCGGATGAGATAGAGCTAATTTATTTGAATACTTTGCACTCGAAAATAGTTTCGTTATTTTTCCTTTTTTAATGACATATCAGTGACAGATTTTCCAAGTAACATTAACACGTTGACTGCCACGAGAATTT